AGACTGCTTAAAAAAAGTGAAAGAAAACACTTGTCATGTGTTTGTTTGTGTTGTCATGGCTATGACACTGACTCTGAAACATCCACTTAATCCTGATGAGTTTTTCTAGATTTTAACTCTATTTGAATGATGGAGTTTGTGAATCTGACTTTGGTTAAAGATCATTAAGCCTCACCTCTTTAGAATCAATGAGATATTTTTAATATTTGCAGTCAAGGTAACACACCATTTACAATGAACACAACACATTCTGGTGCTAAATTCAATTATAAACATTTATCAACTCCCAAAACACCCCAAAGTGCAGAGCACACAGAACAAACCTGTGGCCAGTCACAGTTCAGACAGAGTTCTTCAGACTTAAATGAAAACAGCTACAGACATGAGCAAGTTAAGAGTTTTCAAAAATATCCACCCTGGAGAGGGTTTTAAAAACTTCCGTTTACAGTGAGCAAAATAGCTGTTTTTCTGTTAACGGGAGGCCAAAATTCAAAGAAAAACTATGTTCAATGTCCTGATATATCTGTGTGGACAGAGCCTCACACTGTATCCTAACAGCAGGTGAGCATTCAAATGTACATTCCTTTCCAAAAAAATAGTCCAAGCTCAAAATGGCAAAATATTAAGCTTTTAGTGGTCTTAAAAGCAAATAAGTAGTCAGTAAATGAGCAAGAATTAAACAAATAGATGCGATATTTTAGTGTAGGAGAGCTTTTCCTTTGATTTCTTTAAAGGTTGATGTTTTGTGTGTGAATTTGCAGACAGTCTTTTACAGAAAGAAGAGTCAGTATTGATCCACTCAGCATTGACGGCTTCAAACAGCTGAAAAACACTGCCGAGCTAGTTTGTGTTTAATGTGAAGCCAAATATTCTTTATAGCGTTTAAATCTGGACTGATGGTTTGGACCAGCCAGAACCATCAGTAAAGACCACTGGAAACATCAAGTGTGCATGTGAAGTCAAAACGTAAACATATAGATTTACCATCACAAAATAGCTTGAGACTTCAGCTAAAATGGGTGAGTCTACATCTGCGGTCTAACCACAGCATGTTTAGCTCAAAACAAGCGAGTGACGACTTTTTATACAAGTTTCGTCATATGTCAACGTGGCTGTGTAGGTTTCTGTTTAATCTTAATGCATCAACTATTTCCATGAGGTTGAGCTTCGCTTCGCTGAAACTGATGTTGCAGAAAGTCCACATTAAAGATAATTGTTGTAAATGTTGACCAAGTCTGAGGGCAAAACGTCTGACCATCATAACTTGGCCCTTGTCACTTTTCTCCTGCCTCCAGCAGGTCGACTATAAGAACCGATTGTTCACCTTCTGTCTATTATATCCCAAACCTTCACATGTGCCGTTGTTATGAGATACTCAGCGTTATTCACTTCATCTGTGAGTGTCCATGATGTTTGGCTCATTGGTGTATCTCACTAGCTCCACTCTGAATCCTGAACTTGAACTGTTTATTAAGCGACCTCAATAGACTTTTAGAGTGGATTTATTGTTTTTACTTGACATCATAGGCTCAGTACAAATGGCAACAGATAGCATCTCCTGTGAAACCGCAGGCAAATTTACTGATAAAAACTTTTCTCACATGAAGTTCTCTCACTTTGTCATAGGATGTATGAAAATGAGTCAGAGATCTATATTCAAATTAACACACAGGTCAAGGATATTTTCCATTACACAGTCAAAATTATTATACGCTTTTTCTGTTGGTGAAAAAGGTCAAAAATTGTAATTAGTTCAAATTGTTCATGGAAGCTGCACTGAAAAGCTGTATTAGAATAAGAGCTACAATCATAGTCATAGTGACATACAGAGTGTGAGCAGCTGAGCTTCAGGGTGGAACTACAGATGGTTCAATGGGTCAAAAAAGTAAGTGGCATTAATCATTTATGGTGTTAACATGTTAGCTTTAAATATATATTGGAATAGGTTATTTAACATGAACACATATTGATATTTTCTGTTTTCATGGCTTTTTGGTGTTTCAGGTCCTCTTGCTATTGTTATGGGTTTCTCTGTACTCTCCTGTGTGTGTATTTCTCTGTCCTCCCTGTCCCTAGGTGGAGCTCTTTCCAGGCTGGAGGCTGCTGTGTGCTGTGTGTGTGTGCCATTTTGTTTGTAGACTACATTTTCTCCTGGCTTTGGGCTAGTTAGGGAGTCAGGGACGTTAACTGTATTTTCTTTTCTTTATGCTCTGGTTGATGTTTAGGGAGGTTAGATTTCGGTTGTGGAGTGCTGGGTTTTGTTTGTTAGTTTAGCCTTTGCCTACCTCTGGAGAGATGGCAGCTTGGTTGACTCTTTGTGAACAAGTATTGGCTTATCAATCCTATCATCTGTCTAAATATATGTAAATAGCCTGAAAGTAGACAGTTGTGTGGTGTTGGTTTCTTTTTGTCTCCTCACTTGCCCCCAAATTTATTACACCCTAGACCAACAAGTAACATTGGCTCTTGGAGGCTCTAGGCAGCTGCCTACATTTGCCTAAGGAATAGACCACCCCAGTGGCCGGTTGCACCTGCTGGACATGAGTTCAAACATAAGCTAGTTGTAACATAAGTGTTTAATAAGTTCAGTTTTATGAAGTTTACATTACTAATCAAAATGGATTTCATCTCAAAAGGTAGTTTTAACATTGAGCTTAGTAGTTGCTAGATATTTATACCTTCCTCTGAGCTGGTGTAATGTTGGTGAAACCAACAGAAATGATATAGACCCTACTGAAACATCCAGACTGAGGCCAGAAATGGCAGATTAAAAAAGCTCCTTTTTGGTTTTCACACGGAAATATTAAAGAATAAACAGACAGACTGTGTTCAGTTTTATTCAGCTCTATTTGAACACATTGTTGGTTTGTGTACCGGATATTTTTGTAAATCAGCCCAAACTGCTGAAGTCCTTCATGGCAGATGGTTTACAGATTGGCTCTGAACATCGTCATATTAAAGCAGAGTTCAAATTACTGTTACTAGCCGTCACTAGTTAAGACACAACTTAAGGATTTGTGGCACAGCCAAATTTACAAACCCAGTTCCAAAAAAGTTGGATAGCAGATAAAACACAAATAAAACAGAAAGCAGTGATTTATAAATCTACTTTGACCCGTATTTGAATAAAACAGTACAAAGACGAGATATCATAAATTCACTGTTTCTTGTAAAGAATTTCATTCTGAAATTGATGCCTGTAACAGGTTCCTAAAAACTAGGACAGGAGTAGTTTAAGACTAGGAACATTGTGAAATGTTCAGGAAACATCTTGAACATGTGATCCAGTCATGCTTATATATATATATATATATATATATATATATATATATATAGAGAGAGAGAGAGAGAGAGAGAGAGAGAGAGAGAGCGAGAGCATTGAGGAAAAGCAGAGTCCTTTATTAGAGAGGACGGGTCAAGAACACTTTACAAAAAATGCAAGTCAAAAATCTAAATGTTTAAGAACAACATTCCTCAGCCAGGAACTGCAAGGAATTTCATTATTTCACGTTAGTAAGAAAATTCCACATTTAGAAACAGGATCATTTTGTATTACATCCCAACCACAGGCTCAGGTCTAGGAGGAGGGAGGGACAATAACAAGAGGATGGAGGAGCACAATAAAGGGGGTGCAGAGAGCAGTTCAAGACAAGTAGATAACACTAAAGTTTATAACACAGAAGAATAAGTCACACCAACAAGGCAAAGAACAGACAGAACCAAAGAAAAGAAAAATAAACCAAACTTTTCTAAGCTCAGAGTCACACAGCTACCTTACCCAGCCAACAAATGAACTCTCTAGCTGCTACTCTGCACTAAGCTAACAGAACACTCACAGACACTGATGTGTCTTCAGGTTTGGAGAACGTTACCTGCCTGACTGCACTGTGCCAGCTGTAGAGTTTGGTGCAGGAGGGATGATGATATGGGGGTGTTTTTCAGGGGTTGACTGGTTTAATTCAGGTCTAATAAACTCTCTCAGTGAAACAAACTGAGAGATTTCTCATCAATTTCTCAATAATTCTCATCAAATTAAACCTCATAAACACTTCAAATCAGCTTCTGTTCAACTGTTTGCTGTGTTGTTTACATGATCAGCCAAACAATAATGAACTTATTAGGATAATCAACAAAACTCCAGAGTAAATCATCTTCACTGCTTCACTGCTTCACAGATCTGAATAAACAGTGGATCTACATTAATGTGATCAGCTGTTAGTGTTTCTGAGGTCACCGTCCTGCTGGGTTTGGATCAGCTGACCATCATAGAGCTCACAGACATTAGATACTGACCTTTGAAGCAGTGTTCTACTGACTCTAGTGGTCAGAGATGTGAACTGCAGTTAGTGAGTGTTCTCTGCAGTAGAGCAGTGCTGTCCTGAGAGGAATTTCTCTCAGTGTGTGTGTGTGTGTGTGTGTGTGTGTGTGTGTGTGTTTGTAAATCATCTTTAGAGGAGTTGATGTCCAGGCATTCTTCAGTGTTGCTGTTTTCTAGAGCCAGAAGACCTCAAAGTCATTTTCTACATGTCTAAACTTCACAGTTAGATCTTCAGTCTCATCTCGATGGTGGACAAAAGCTTTTGACCCTTCATGCAGTTTAATAACTCTGAGCCCAAAGTAAATGCAGCTCTCTTTATTTTTCCAGTTTAAACCAGTTTTCTTACAGGGGGAGTTACTGATGGAGGAAATCAACCATTTTCATTGTTCTTCAGTACAGCAGTTCATGGGGGCTGTTGGGCTGTTGGTTTGACCAGCAGAAGGTGCTCAGAGTGGAAGATTGAGTCTCTGGAGTTGCACCAATGAGCCGTTTCCTGAATATGAACTCTGTTACCAACAGTGAGGTTGGTGGATTGGGGTTTAGGGTGTGGCAGTTTTGGGTTGGGGGTTTGACACACACACACACACTCTCTCTCTCTCTCACACACACACACAAACACACACAAATACCACACACACACACACACAGACACACACAGGAAAGAGCCAGACAGAATCCCAGATCAATGCAGTTTGCTGAGTTCATTTATTGGTAATGATCAGTGATCAGAGACCAATGAGAGCAGGAAGAAGAGCAGAAGAGTGACTCTCTCTCAGTGAGTGAGCGACAGAGTTTAAGCACAGCAGGATTTCACACACAGTGATCATCCATCAGATTATAAATTTGGGTCCAGGCATTGTTCAGCTGCTCTGCCTCCACTGAAGCAAAGCCGACATGTGTAGTGGGTATTATTGACGTGAGGATTTTGGTTACAGCGGTAGAGAAATCTGTTATTATTGTTTCTCTCTATTTTTCTAAGGTTTTCCTCCAGTTGACGGTTCCCTTGATCTCTTTCAAATATCTTGTTGTAGACGAAAGCTTTTGGGCCTTGGCGGAGTCTAATCATGTTGAGGGCAGTGAGGATGTTACGGGGTCTTTTCTCGTTTAAGCAGGTTCTTGTACAGGGGGAGTTGTAGGTGTAGAAGATCACACAGCCTTGTGGGTCTCTGTTCAGGAGGTCCTGCATGAGTGGAACATTGGGAGGAACCCCTAATGGATTAGAATTAATCAGCAGAAGGTACTCAGAGTGGAAGAAGGGGTGTCGATTTGTATTTCGGTCAATGTGGTTGGGATCTTCTATGAGCGTTGCACCAATCATCCGTCGCCCATTATAGATTACATTACGTCTCAAGTCATTTCTCACATTATTTGGCTGATCATCATTAAGAGCCTCCAGAAATGCCTGAAAATCGAAGTGTCCAGTACAGAGATGACTTGGGATGTTGATGGCCACTGCATACTGTCCACCTTTATCTGGACTGTACCTAAACACACAAACAACTGGTCAAACACTTTATTATTCACTGATAATGATTAATCAGAGCTTCTTAATCTTAGAACATTTTACATGATGATTATTTTACATAAACTCTGCTTTAATCAAACCCTCAACTTCACCACAAACTCCTTTAATGCTACTTCAGTTTGACTCAGCAGGGACGGTCAGCAGGTGATGGTCAGATTACTTACTGGGTCTGAATGTATTCGATTATTTCAACCAGATTGTCCTCATTCACCAGCTGAACTTCAGCCCCTCTCAGACAGAGAGAGAGAAGACAGAGCAGGACCACTCTCAGAGCTCCACTGAGAACCTGCACACACACACACACACACACACACACCACACACACACACACACACACACACACACACCACACACACACCACTTATTAGATGCTTTGCAATGCAGATGTGGATGGTTCTGAATTGATTCACAAATGTGAAAAATCGATTTTCTAAATATTTAATTTATAACGTAATGTTGACGGAACGTAAAAGGTGGAACTTGGAAGCGGGTGGACAGCGCCCGGACAGTCTGTGGCGGCACACAACAAAAAACACAACTGGATGAGTGAGAAATCTGACTGGCTCCCTCTGCATTAAAGCCAGGTTAGGTCAGGAGTCACAACCCAAATGTTAAGAGGAGCCATTTTATCCTTTCAACAAAAATCAAACCACTGTGGGGGCCACAACATTTAATGTCCAGTATGTCCAGTATGTGATAATGTCCTAGTATAGGCTAGAAAATATAAACAAAAACGTAGATTTACTTTGCTCTGCTTTAAACTTTAGCTATAGTTGCTTTCCTCCCCTTTACCTCAGGAAACTTCTCCTCAAATGTTGAACAGTTTCTTGTAAAATGTCTCTTAACCTTCGACTGATTTACGAGGCTGAAGTCGCTTCTCATTCTCCAGCTTCTTATTCGAATTTTCCCATTCCACCTTAAATGGTGCCTGAGGTGCCAGAATGCAAACATGGCACCATTTAAGTTGGAACGGGACAATTCCAAAGAGAAGCTGACGTTTTCACAACTTTTTAGTGTTTGTCAGTTTCTCATTGCAGATGTAACGTATCAGGAAACCAACTGTGGTGCTCATAAATGCGAATAAGTCAGTTCATTTCCGAATGTTCAAGTAAGCGATGTCAAAGCTTCCACCCAAATTGGAAGTGAATTACCAACTCCGTCACAACTTTTATTGCCAAGATTTAGGGTCTGTTCGGTGTTGTTGAGAACCATGGCTTTTCTGCTAGGCTGCTGAGATTCAGCGTCCAGTGTCGAACATATTTTGCTGACACAGCGACCCCCCCACTCTGTACAACGAGACCAAAACTGAAAAATCACTGAGTCAAACGGGTAGGACGGCTGTAACGTGATGTGTGGACACCAATTGCCACAGAATCTTATTTCAATGCAACTGCGCATTTTATCGCAGATGAGTGGCAGCAGCGTCTCATGTGCTCCAAAGAAGCGCAGTGAATGAGAGCCTTCCAGTTCACTTACCACATCACTTCCATTTGATTTATTAATAAAAGACACTGGAATTAAATTCATTACGGACTGTTACAGATACTTTGCTTGAAAAGTACAAAGTTGTCACACAGTGAAAAAAGAAATCCTGTATAGAAAAAAAAGATGCAGAATTATTTTATAATCACATTGCAGCATCTGAATCGTAATCTAATCGAATCGTGAGGTGCCTAGAGATTCCCACCCCAAACACACCACACATACACCACACATACACCACACACCACACACACACAACACACACACCACACACACACCACACATACACACACACCACACACACACACACACACACACACACACACACACACACACACACACACCACACACACATACACACACCACACATACACACACACCACACACACACACACACACCACTAAAGTACTCAGCTCATTATAGTATATATTATTAGTATTATTAGTATTAATAGCGTGGAGACTGTACCTGCTCCTCATTCACTAATGAACTCGGCTCATTATAGTATATATTATTAGTATTATTAGTATTAATATTGTGGAGGCTGTACCTGCGCCTCATTCACTAATGAACTCAGCTCATTATAGTATATTATTAGCATTATTAGTATTAATTGTGTGATCAGAGGCTGTTTCTTACCATGATTGAAGATGTCTGAGTCTGAGTGCAGATTATGAAGAGCAGAGGAGAAACTGATGCAGATTTATATAGATTATGACTCCACCCTCTTTGCAAAAAATATTATAATTCACTGTTCGCTGATTGGTTGAGATGTCTGTAGCCAGTTTCAGGCTGTTAAACAGCAAGAAAATATTTGGAAGATGCTGCCTGGACATTTCTAGAAATATCTCAGAATATTAGCACAGAATAATGTAATGACTGCACATAATGTAATAACAGAAATGTAATAAACACATAATGTAATAAATTGCCAATAATGTTAGTCTTACTTTAAAGGAACTGTGTATAATAACTGTGTAGTTACATATTAACAATGCATGCTAGCAACTAGTGGTGATATATTCAATGTTACAGATGGATTACACAAATGACATAGTACTGACATGGCAGTGATGTGGTAGTGACAGACATGACATGAACGTGATGTTGTAATGACTGTAGTGACATGTAGTGACACCCTAACTGAAGTTCTGGCTTTAATCTGTTCTGTACTGTGTAAATACTGTCACATTACAGAATATTATTTTAGTTTCATTCTTGGCTCCTTGTTTTTTTTTTTTCAAAGGCTGAACTTTCACTGCTCTCTTTTCAAGCCAGAGAGAGAAAGAACTGATGAATAGATATAGCTGCATCTGAAAACTGAATGTGCAATGCAACAAGCATTTACTGAATAAAACATTTACCTGTTTAATAAACATAAAGGTAAATATGAAGGGTTGAGGGTTGTGTGGAGGAAATGAGCATCTTTACTCTGGCTGTATTCACAGCTCTCTCAGCTCGGCTTCTTCCTGATCCCTTGTTTTGATAAGCAACGTCTTTAAACCACCAGTAAACCCACAACATTCAGCTCTGAAACACAGAGACCTGCTTTAACCCTTAGAGGTCACAGTTATCTCCAGTGATATGCAGATCATGGTGTGGTTGTATATGGACTATTTCTGACTCGTAGCTCATTTTAACAAGTGGAGAAATTGTGTGTAAAGTGCGGAGTGTAAACTTTCAATATAAACTAAATTAGTGCTTCTAAGTAGAAGAAGAGATACTAAATTTTATTTTGAATATGATGAAATATTGTTGTTGTGTACAGTCCTGTTTCAGGGAAATAATGTTTTGCCACATTTTTATTATTTCCTATCATGTTTTTGAACAGAAATAGTCGGATCCACCCTGATGAAATTAGCTGTTAGCTGCAGTACAAAGCTAGTTGTAAATTAGCCACCAGTGTTTAGTGGTATAATACAGTTTTATTCAAAAAAACAAAAAGATGTACCGACTGTTGTAAAATGCCATTAGTGCTGTTTGACTGGTTATTTTCATGATGAACACATTATGTAATGTGTCTCTGTATCCCTGTTTAATCTGCAAGATTTCCAGCTCTGTGGTGAAACATCTGTGACAGGTCAGAGTTACTGAGGGAAAATCTCTTTAGCTGGTACTAGAGGGGAACCCAAGCCCACCCACAAGCTACTCCAGATTGATGAAAACAGTTGCCAGTTGTCAGAAGTTGGTGTGGGGTTCTCACAGGGTCAAACTCCTCCCTTGTGAAACTGTGAACTGTTTAAAGTTGATGCGGAAAAAAGTTCAAATGTTTAATCCACTGTATTTTAGTTTGGCCTCCATCTCTCAATAAGAGGTACAAGGTACCTATTAAACTGGCAGCTCAGTGCCTGTCAGTTTAGTGTCTTATTGTACTTTGCTAACATTACTACCAAACATGAGGGCCTTAACACAACTGAGAAGCCTGCAGTAGTGCGGCTAGGCTAAACATGCTAGCTGTAGTTGGTAAAGACATTCCTCTGCTCTCAGTGCTGCCTCAACAAGCCAACATGTTTCCACATCATCCACTGAGTAGAAAACCATTTAACAGGAGTAGAAAAACAATGATTGACCATCACCTAATGTTAAACTGTTAGCACTAGCATTAGCACACTGTGGCTAAAATTCCCTTTGCTTTTGAGCTTTCAGCTGTACTGACTCCACACACCCTGTCTTGACTCCAATTTTTTGTTATGTAAAGGTGCAAATGTACCTACACAGAACTTTGACAGCGTTTTACTGCTATTTCCATGAGGTTGAGCTACACTTCGCTGAAACTGATGTTAAGGAATGTCCATATTAAAGATAATTGAGTTCTGCTTTTTCCCTTTTCTAGATTTTACAACCCCATTTCCAAAAAAGTTGGAATGCTGTGAAAAATGTAAATAACAACAAAATTCAATGATGTAAAAATCATTTAAGCCCTATATTTCATTGAAAATGATTCAAAGACAACATATCAAATGTGAAAAATGAGAAATTGTGTGAAAAATATTTGCCCATTTTGAATTTGATGCCAACAACACATTCCAAAAAGTTGGGACAGCGGCAACAAAAGGCTGGTAAAGTTGTGTAATGCTAAAAAAACACCTAGTGGTTGATTGGCAGCCGGTCAGTAACATGTTTAGGTATAAAAGAGTCTTTCAGAAGTAAAGATGAGGAGGAGTTCACCACTCAGTGAAAGACTGCACAATCAAATAGTGCAACGATTCAAGAATAAAGTTTCTCAACATAAAATAGCAAAGAACTTTTGCTTGTCATCATATACGGCACATAATATCATTAAAAGATTCAAAGAATCTGGAGAAATCTCTGTATGTAAGGGACAAGGCCAAAATTACAGTATTTGCTGGCCGTGATCAGACAGCACTGCATAAAAAACATTCATGATTCTGTAGCCCAAAGAAAAAATCATATATAAACAGGATCCAGAAATGCTGCCACCTTCTCTGGGCCTGAGCTCATTTAAAATGGACTAAGATGAAGTGGAAGAGTGTCCTGTGGTCCGGCAAATCAAATAATGGACACTGTGTCCTCTGGGCTAAAGACTACTGAGCTTGTTATCAGTGCACAGTTCAAAAGCCAGTATTCATGATGGTATAGGGGGCATTAGTGCACATAGCATGGGTTTCTTGCACATCTCTGAAGGCACCATTAATGCTGAACGATGTATACATGTTTTGGCAACATATGCTGCCATCCAGACGACATCTTTTTCAGAGAAGACCTTGGTTATTTCAGCAAGACAATGTCAAACCACATTCTGCATGTATTACAACAGCATTGCTCCGTATTAAAAGAGTCCAGATGCTAAACAAGCCTACCTGCAGTCCAGACCTGTCACCACTGAAAACATTTGGCACATTATAAAATGAGAAATATGACAAAGGAGACCCTGAACTGTTGAGGAGCTGTAATCCTATGATTTCACTTTCAAAACTACAGCAGTGTCTTCTCATTTCCCAAATGCTTATAGAGTGTTGATAAAAGAAGAGGTGATGAAACACAGTGGTAAAAAAGCCCCCGTCCCACCTTTTTTGGAATGTGTTGTTGGCATCAAATTCAAAATGGGCATATATTTTTCAAAAACACAATAACATTTCTCAGTTTCAACATTTGATATATTGTCTTTGTACTATTTTCAACAAAATAGAGGACTTAAAAGATTTGCACATCATTGAGTTTTGTTTTTATTTACATTTTGCACAGCATCCCAACTTTTTTGGAAATGGGGTTGTAATATTCTACACCAATTTTAAAACCTTATTCTCTTTTCATGTTGCTCTTTGTTATTGTTTGCTATCTGGTGCGCACTAGAGGAGGGTGGGTTCCCCTTTTGAGTCTTGGTTCCTTTCAAAGTTTCTTCTTCTTGCTCTTAGGGAGTTTTTCCTACCACAGTCACCTTTGGCAATGCACATGGGGCTTGGATCCAGATTTTTCTGTAAAAAAGCACTATATACATAAAGTTTGACTTGACTTGACTAATTATTTTCCATGCTGACTAAAGGGCATTCATACAGTCTGGAAGCAAAGTGCCAGGTACTCAAGCAGGGGTGGATTTTGAGTTTTTAGGCCCTGAACAGAGGACAGCAAACAGCTCCCACTTCAACCACAGGTTTTACCTTGGTTTACCCTGGATTTCCCCCCTCACTGGTGCAGTGGGGTGCTGATTGGCTCAGCTTGTTCTAAAAAGAAGTGACAAAGAGTGAAAACTAATTTCTTTGTATCTGGAATGGAGGTCATGGGTCGGGTTGGTTTCTACCTTTCACCATCTATGTAATGTAAAAGGAAATGGAACTCATCTGACCACGCAACCTTATTTCATCGCTCCAAGGTTCAGTTCCGATGCTGTTGTGCCCATTGTAGGCTCTTTCACTGGTGGACAGGGGTCAGCATGGTCATTCTGTCAGCTCTGCAGCTATGCAGCCCCATGCACAGCAGGGTGGGATGCACTGTGTGTTCTGACACATTCATCCTTTATCCATCGTCACAATTTTCTGTGCCACAGTAGCTCTTCTGTCAGTTCAGACTGGTTCCTTTGTCCCTACTAGGTCTACTGTTGGTAGGTATTCACTGCTGCTGACAGGAAGCACCTCTCAAGCCTTGCTCTTTCAGAGATGCTCTGATCCAGTCATAAGGCCCTTATCAAAATCTCTGAAATCTCTCCTACATCCACCACATCCACTATGAGAACCAGCTGTTCACCTACTGCCTAATGTTTCTCAGACCTTCTCATGTGCTGCTGTTACAAGACAATATTACCTAACTCATCTGTAATAGCTCATTATGTTTCGGCTCATCGGTTTACATTATCTCACCAGCTTCACCTGAGTCTTGAAATTAAACTATTTATGAGGTACCTGAAAAGATTTTTGAGTAGATTCATTGTTTTTGCTTGACATGATGTGTAACATGACAGGCCTAGTACAAATAGCAACCAATAGCATCTCCTGTAAAACCGCAGGTACATTTCCAACACAAACTTTTCACACATGAAGTTCTCACATTTCTCACTTTGTCACAGGACATATGAGCATTAGTGCATACCAACAAGAATGCTGGGTTTTCAACTGTGCACTCACAACAATCTGAGTAGTGTTTAGCCCAGTGGATGCAATGTCTATAATTTCCATTAATTCTTCCAACCACAGAACACTGTTCC